AGGGACCTTGAAACTAGATGATCTTTGAGGTCCCTTCCAACCCAAAGCAGTGTATGATTCTGTGAAGTCACAGCACTTTTGGGCTTCACAGCAGATTTTGGCATGCAAAGACATCCACACTAAAAAAGTTGAGGGAATAAAGTATGCTAATCCATTTCTCTAAGGGAAGTGGTTTTAAGAGATTTTCATAAATCTGACAATAGGTGAAATTGTGTAAGGGCTACCACTCATGAGTAGCTCTTACTAATAGTCATCTCTCAAAAATGTCGGACAGTTTATTTCCTCTTCTAGCTGTGGCATGTCAGTGTTGACAACTTCTGACTTCCGAAGATTAAACTCCAGTACATATCCCTCTTGAGGAGGGGATGTCTTTCATGTTTTGGGACGACATCACAGAGAACGCGTGGCAATGATTTAAAGGAGCACTCTCAAGGGAAGCACTTCTCTTATTTGGGATGATTTTTACACTCCCTCTCTCGTTAATTGAAAGAATTCATTGTAGAGTCAGAGAACAAAAATAATAAGCATGGCCTGTGGATGTGGGGTAGGATGTTTGGCTGGAGCCAGTAAAAATAAGTACTTTAAATCTCATTATGGTTTAACCTTATGGCGAAATCCTGGCTTCACTGAAGTCAGAGGGAGTTTTGCTGTTGTATTAAAGGAAGGCAGGATTTTGCTTGTAGTGTCTAAAGGATAGGTACTAGTTTTCAACTGTTCCCTCTTAAAACTGGCAAGATGAGGGGTTTGTGTGTGTTTACAGTCTTGTATAGCTACTAGTCCCACCGTTCTTCACATGGTTGACAAGAAAGTTAAACCTTTCTAACTCTGGGTAAAGACGAAACAGATTACTAAGTACAAGAATTAAAAAAAACCCCACAAACAGTAGTTTCCAGAGAGATTTAGCTCGTGTGTCTTAAAGAAGCTAGAAACCCAAGAGGTCCTCCATCCAGTTCCATTCCACTTCTGTGTAAGTGTGCACATTTCCCATCAGAAGCACAGAGTGCATGATGATCCCAAAGGTCAGGTCCAACTTGTTGTTGGAGAAGGTTTGCTAAACAGGTACATTAAATTATAGTAGTACAAATGATTGTGGTTTGCAGATGATCTTAAATGAGGTAACGTAATTGAGAAGATCTACTTCTTGATGGTAACCATAGAGCTATCTCATTTCAGTCCGTTCTTTTCTCTGCTACTTTGTCTTCTCTGTGAATAGCACTCAAGTGCTATGCCCAGTGGATCCAATTAGTGTATCTTAGAGGTTTGTTCAAAGAAAAATACAATCACATAATTATTGGTTGTACGGGCCCTTCTTCGTATCTGGACAAAACTAATCGTGATGAAAGTAGCAGCCTTTTCAGCACAAAGTGCACCACACAATTCTCTCATTATAGTGAGTCTAAGATCAGAATAAACTAGTATACTCTCTAGCTTGTTCTGAGATAGTCTATGAATGTAAGGAAGGAGTTATTCCAAACACATCAAAATGAAGTGATATGATAGTTCTTTCCAGCTTTCACAAATGGCCATATTAGATACATCCAAATTTGCCTTGTCCATAGATGCTATTTTTCCTTTCGGATATTAGTTAAAGATCTCAAGTCGTACTCAATGTAGCGTTTAGATTAAGCATAAATTATTCTGTAATGTCTTCCTAGAGTAATTCATGTCTGATGTAACCTTCATGGCAGATTTAGCATGCTGTTTATTTGATTCTTCTGTTAAAATGAAAAAAAAAAAAAAGGCAATTAAATTTCAGCTGTTGGACAAGATGCACTGGAGGAACTCAGATTTGAGATGCATTGTAGCCCAAAGGTTGGGTATTCTAAACTGCGAAAGTAACCAAGCAAACACTCTACTACATGGATACAACTCTTCATTAACTTCTTTACCTCTGCTTGGCTTTTCAGTGGATTTTGGTGTAAGCGCCCAACTGGATAGGACTATTGGGAGAAGAAACACGTTTATTGGCACACCATATTGGATGGCGCCTGAGGTCATTGCTTGTGAGGAAAACCCAGACTCTACGTATGATTACAGGGTAAGCATTACAACTTTGCATAAGGTAGCAAAACGTGCAGGTTATTGCTGAAATCCTGCTCAAGTACTGCATTTGAAAAGTTCAAACATCCCTCCCCTTAAACTGCAATCGTATTATAACTGTACAAACAGAAGTATTTGTAATATGTGGGTAGTGGCTCTTTTTAAGAGTGGAGTTTCATTATGAATATTTTTTTGTGAATTGTTAATACATGAAATACACTTCAATGAACTTCTGTGCAAAAAACCCCACCTGAAATACAGAGGTTACAGGTCAGGATAGAAAAGAAAGGAAGAGGTAAATTTGGAAGGAATACTTCAAATAGTGTAATACTAATATGACAAGTTACTGCTTTCCACTGTGATAGAGCTGTTTTACTCTGTACTCAGCTGCAAATCCTGAGTTAGTTGGTGGTAATTAGCATCACTTCACTCATTTATGAGCACGTGACTGCAAGAGGTTTCCCATCATCCCAGAATGATTTCTGGTCATTCGCAGGCTGGCTGAGGTGAGAAGGCATAGAATTTCTGTATTTCAGTTTGTGCCCACTGCCTCTTGTCCAATCACTGGGCGCCACTCAGAAGTCTGGCTTGGTCTTCCTTACTCCCTTCCCATCAGGAATTTGTATGCATGTATGAGATCCCCCAGAGCCTTCCCTTCTCCAGACTGAATGGTTCCATCTATCCCAGCCCAGAGCCTCCCAGTTCCAATCCCTTAAACATCTTTGTGGCCCTTTGCTGCACCCACTCCAGTATGTCCATGACTTCCTTGTACTGGGGAGCCCAAGAACAGCTATCAAACGCTTTTTCTGGTTCTCCTCCTAACTTTTATAATATGCTGAGGCTGTTCCAAAGAGACTTATGAAGTTTATTCTTTGTCCTCTGGCTTGTTTCCAGCAGTGTTGTCATTTGTTTGCCTACACTTACCATGCAAGATGTTTTCCAGGGATGGCTTTCTGAGCAGCCATCTTCTGAGTGTCCCTCCTGTCACTCTCTTGGTTCAGGTGCTCTCTTGCTTGCCACTTTGCACCTCTCGTTCTAGTTGTGGCTTCAGAAATATTTATTAGAAGAACCTGTGATAGCTTACATTTTCCTAGTGATTCAGATGCTGTGATTCTCCCTTGTTGAGACCTTCTGTGCTGCACTGGCAGAGTGAGGTCACGATGTGTGACTGTCAGTCATGTCCAAAGAATGTTCTTGGATTTTATTTTATTTTTCATACCGTGTAAAGCTTCTACTGAAACCTCATGAAATTAATCTCTTGTCTTCATTCCCTGTCCCCAGCTGGTTTCCTTTTCAGAAGATAGAAGCATTAGGAACGTGCGCCTCTATTTCTTGAGGTTTCTTTGCCTTCAGTGAAAATCACAGTTCATCTGCTAGCATTTATGTCTGCTTCCGACTAGGCTCTGCAGGTGGTAGTTTAAAACTGATCAGCAGAGGGTTTTGGAAGCACTTATGCAGACAGTGCTATGACTCAGAAGGTGGCATGGGGCCGGTCTTTTCTACAGAGATTTATAGCTGATATGATGAGTAAAGTAGCAGGAGGCCACTCTGTAAATTCTTTCTGTTCCAGCTCTGATTTAAAAAGAAATAAAATAAAAAATTATAACAAATATATTTGATATAAATATATATAAAAATATATA